TGAAGGAAATATTGATACTGCAATCAGCATAAAAGTATGTGATGTACCTTTCTCTTCACCCCATTCTGTAAGAGAACTTTTTACACAAGGGTTCAACAAAAATTCTCTCCTCTGTAAACCACATTGATGGATATCCACCTCCAAAATACAGATATATCACCTTTCCTATCTGATAGAAAAGGATCCCATGATCCTGAACCGTGAGCCGATCTTACCTGGGATCGCAAATCCCGAACTAAGTAACTAAGCCACCCACCTGGTCACAATCACTTGATTTTGGCTCTAAAGAGTAGATGAGATGGGGGCAAAAAGAAAGAAAGAAAGAACTTAAAGAATGAAAATATATATTTGCAAAATCTAAAAAGAAACTAAATGAAGAGACCCTATTTCTTTTTTTCTAGGAGCAGTTCTGATCAACCCCAGCTACGAAATTTCTACTTTTCACGAGCCTTGTCGTATTTCTAGCAGTTTTGGCTGTTGTAAAGGGTATAACCAGAGCAGTGAGCTTGATCGACTGTCCAGCTTCCACCACTGTTCTCAACATCCCACCTCAAGAGATCAAAATTGCAGCACCGCTATACATGGAAATTGTAAAAACTCAGAGGTATTTCCCAGACGACTTCCAAATTCTTCCCTCAAGAGATACCACCATAACAGTAACATCATCATGGTACTTCCTACGATCTCCCTGGGGGATGTCCAGCAGTTCATGAAAATCCATTCCTGCAAGAAAACATTAACAATTCAATTGAAAAACATGTAATATTTGCATGCCACAACCCAAAACAAGTCATCTAGAGAGGCCATCATAAGATAACCATGAAATCAGAGATTCAGAAATCATAGTTTACCTAGACTGCAAAAATACATAAAACGAAATGGTAGAGAAAAAAGATGCTACTAAATGAGAAACTAACTAATGATTACTGTGGAGATAAAGCCAAAGTATTTAGTAGTCCTTACGTTTCAGAAAGTGATATGAAATCAATGACATCATCTGGAGTTGTTAAAAAAGAACTTTCTTTTAATTTAAGGACGCCCAGAATTCATATAAAGGAACCCAATCCCCTAGTTTGGGATTGAGACATAGTTAAACTTCAGCATTTAAGAGAAGAAAACAGCTTGATGATTCATCAGCTTCTGGATATTCAGACAGATCACTTAGGGATCTCGTGCCACATTTTCTAGAAAACGAAGATTGACAACTGATCTTGAAATTCCTGAAGCGCTATGCTATGAAATAAATCATCCATGTAATGTTTTGCCTCTTTAGCAAGAGGGTTACCAAGATCTTGAAAATGTTATCTGATCTATCAATTTCTACACTTCATTGATACCAGCCGATCCACCAAGTGATCCAAAGAACTAGGTGCCACAGAAATACACAGGTGCAAAAACTCAAATTAAAAGATAAGGAAACATTTACCAAGGCTTTATATGGACACCTGTATAAGGGAATATACTTCGCTGCAATATTTGGTTGATGGATGAGCTTGGGACCTTTGAGTCATATTACCAATTTAGTGTAGTCTTTTACTAACGTTTCTTCCCCAAAAGAATAGATTTTCTACATTCCACAGACCCAAGTCAGAAGGTGAGGACTGAGGACTAGTACGATTCAATTAGAATATAATGTACTATTCAGGGGCTTACAATTCTAACTAAATAGTGCAAAACAATATTCTTGACATAGGCTTTTTATAGTTATCATATATCAGAGGTAGCGCAGCAGCTTAAATGAGTAAACGACAAAGATGTTTCTCAAACCTCAAGATGTATCTTTGTTCCATCAGTTAAAGACAAGTACACGTAAACAACCTAAGTCATGGTGGATAATCTGGTCATAAATCCAGAATAAGCAATTGTATGTCAATGTGTCACAGAATTGGAGCGGGTCCAATTTAGTGTTCCCACCTAATACAGAATTGATTTAAATTAGAGAATAAAAGGAAGATGATTGAGAGTCTGAAAGTTTTTTATAAGAAAAATCTGAAAATGTAAATGTCATCTCCTAAAACAAAAACAAAAAAGTTATCTCCTAGCAAAAATTAAGGGTGTGCAGCCACTAGAAAACGTAAAGAATCACCAAAACAGTAACTTTTTACCCTTAACTCTGCGCACAGAAAGACTAGACAGAAAACATACCAGCTTTCTTGGCTGCACGGAATAAGAGCTCCTCAATAAGATGCTGAGCAGGATCCCCATCAGGGAATTTCTCCATGAAATTCTCAACATGACAAACAACCTCTTGATTGCTCAAATATTGGTACAAGCCATCAGAGGATAGCACCAAAAACTGATCCTTAGGACAGAGTCTATGATGGCGCAGAGAAGGTTTACAAGATAAATAAGGAGCATCCCCAATGTACTCGTTCCGAAACATTTCTAGCAACGCATCATTCAATTTAGGCTGCACAGGCACATCTCAAAATATTAAGCGGATTGACAGCAAGCATGTAAAAACAGAATATAAGTCTACGGCAACAACTCAAAGTAGGATGTTCATTCAAATAATTAAACATGTGGCAAACTTTACATCTCCAGAGTACCTACATGCAGAAACATATATTTCTGTACTAGATGGAATGCTAGGACTAAGAGTGCATGACATTCCATCTCTTAGAGATCCACAGAATTTCGGCCAAACCAGAAATGGAAATGGTCAAAGAGGGTCCTCTGACGCCACAATATTAAAGCAAAACGAGGCTCCGAATGTGCAGATGTGCAATTCGATGCAATTGCTAGAGATTTTTGGGATAGGAAACCAGGATGGAGAAAGAAAAGCAAATGACAAACCTTTTTCAGGAAGCCCGCCCCAAAAGCGCGAGTGACCTTTAAACGACCTTTCACTCTATCATTAACAATACAATTGTTGTCGTCTGGGTGTTCATTCTTGATTCTAATAACTTCCTGGAGATTGTTACAAGAAACAAACTGTTTAAGAACCTGACTGATTAAAATACAAACATGGGAGTGTTACAAGCAACAGACACTTAAAAGTTACAGGTTTCACAATGACAAATGAGACAGAAACTCAGCGCCAATTGCAGTCATTGGTCAAACACACTTTAATAACAACAATGAGAAGTTGTAACTTGGTAGAACCGAAACAGACAACACGGGAATCATTAACCGTATCTGGCCAGCAGAAATGGTTATGTCAGAGTAAAGAGTGAACACAATTAAGTGTGACAGCAATACAGGTGCTGTTACAGCTACTAGCTCATTCAACAACTAGCCAAATCAGTGATTGCAATTAGTATTAGGGGCACTTTAGATAAAAGATGAAAATATCGACTTGAATGTGCATGCCGCAAATTGGAGCCAATATATATTATTTGTGCTCATCTAATGTCTTGATAAAGAAGGCCCAGCAAACACAGGAGGCCTGAAGCCTTTCACAAATGTTGCAAGAAAATGAAGATATGCCAGGCATTTGTTTCACTTTTTTTTTTTTAACTTATCCACCCCATTATATTGTTTGGATTTTGTTTTCCATGGAGTACAAAATCTGATGCATTGCCTCCTTGCTAATGGAGAAGAATAAGAATATTCACCAAAGTTAGTAAATGTCTAGTAGTACACTCACTGCTGAACAAGACCATCAATATATAACTCCTGTGGCAGAAAAATACTTAGGTACAACAGACGAGGGGATCTTTTCAATTGCCAAAAGGTCCTACGCTTAGACGCAGGTATAATCATTTTATCAAGGTAGGGGTTGTTCATCCATCCCAATAGGCAAGGTTTCTGCCAAATGATAATGTTGGAAAGAAAAAAGGAAAAAGGAAAAGAGAACCCACTCAGTTGAGGCATTCAGCAGTTTTATCATATTCATCTTCGTCCAATAAACCAAGACAAACTAATATAGAAATAAAAAATGTTGAGAGCATCACACCAATACATGAATGTTGTAGCTGAAGGAAAACTGCTACCAGTATCCAACTACAAACAACAGTTTGCTTAAAAAATAGAGAGATGCAGGAATAAAAGAGCAGAAAAAATGAAGATGGAAGAAGTAGAAAACAAACGAAAGATTCATCAATAGATATCTAATACCTCTCCAGCCTCCATCTGATACAGTGTTTAATAGAAGTATAGGAGGCACCTAATGTATATATAAGAAGCTATATTTGAGCAGTTATATTAGAAGCTTAGAGGAAGCTTCCAAACCCATTGTTTCATTTAGATGAATAAATGGATACCAGACAAGGCAAATATATTGACAAAAATGGAGCTAAGGGAAAGCAATATTAAGTTTCCTCATTGTCACAATTACACTAAAGAGTGGCAAAATTATACCTTCTAAGATATCCCTAAGACTCATGAACCACAAGTTTGGAACAGTATTGCACTCTATTTTAAGAGAGTTTTAAGATTAGAAGGCAATCAATATCGGAAAGGATCTGACTGCATTCCTGATCCACTCATAGAGATTAAGCACAAGTTCATGAAAATATGCAAGACTCAGATTCGTCAAAATCTTTGAGAGAGAGAGAGAGAGAGAGAGGCAAAGAAAGAGATCTGGGCTAAAGGAGCAGAATCTCATCTAAAGTGAGCACAGCAGTAAAGAGTGAACCTACTATAATGAAGACGACCAAGCTTATGACATGGCAAGGAATAAGTGATTATGGGAAAAAGAACCATTTGAGAGGGTCAAACTATAGCTAAATGCTGAACTGTTTCTAAGAACCTGCCTATACCAACTAAATGCTGCCAACCCAAAAATTTAATGGTTCGATACACTGTGACCGAAGATTCACAACACCAGACCTACAGAAAAACCACTTCGGCAGGCACATATATGATCCAGCTCTGCATATAACTAAAGCAAGAAACTGACTTTGAGACCTCTTTGCTTCAGAGGCTTTTATTTTGAAATTATGTCCCATTTAATTAATTTCATAACCTACTACATTCAATGATCTTAGATCAGTAAAGCAGGTGATGAGCACAAGGGGCATCATATTTTGGAGCACCAGATAAAGGAAATAGCTTTTAATTTACATGAATTCATCATTCTGAAGTTTTGTAATTCTTACAGAGTAAAATAATTATGTACTCCAGCACTTAAAATGTCATAACTCATAAATCAGTTAAACTTAAAACATGGAAGGAAGCATCAGAAACAACCCATTGACTAACAAGAAACCGAGGAACCTTACTTCTTCAATGCTAGTGCTGTGATCAGTTGACAATTGCAAGGCAGTCAGCTTCGTAGCTTGAATAGGTATCTCATTCGTCGCCTTATTTTCCTCATCACCGGCAACTACAGATTCTTCAGCAATGCCCTCAACAGCCAACTCGCAATTGCCTGGAACTATTGGTTCTGAACTAGAACTAACCTCCTCAGACTCATACTGAGCCACAATAGCACGACTATCTCCCACATTCATAACATATACATCTTCATCTCTCATCAAAGCAACCAGCAAACAAGAACCCATTAATGCAAGCTCAGGGTACCGATCAAGAACTTTATCTGTCATATCCAAGTAGGCGAGTTCAGTGACTTCAAGAGCTCTTGACATTGCTCTCAAAACCAACTCATGATCAACCGGACCCACCTTACGCTTCCTTTCACTTCTATCAATCCTTTCCTCCACTCTATTCTCTCCTACTTCAACCTTCTTTTTAGCTTGCAATCCGAATCTCCATGGGAATAACCTGTTACTCTCTTTGTGCTTATTAATTGACAAACCATGTTTCAACTTCGACAACAGCAACGACCTCCTATTAACCGCTGAACCTGCACTATTTACACTTAATGCATCATCTACTGAAAATGCAAATCTCTCCGAACCCGAAAGATCAAGACCATCCTCTGTCTCATCTTCTGCTAAAAGTTCCCACAATCTCCTCCTCCTAACCTCTATTTCCCCTGATTGAAATGTCACTCTCTTTTCAGACCCTTTATCCATCTGCTCCAAATTAACTGCACTTTCACCTTCTTCTACTCCCCTATCTCCCCTACTCGTGGCATCAAGTGGTCCTCGATTCCAATGTGGCTTGTTTGAGTCCTCACCAATCAGTTCATTTTCTATATTTGCATTTTCTGATTGAAATATCACCTTCTTTTCACACTCTTTATCCATCTGATCCAAATTAACCTCATTTTCAGCTTCTTCAACTCCCCTATCCCCCCTACTCATCTCCTTATGCACTCGATTCGAATTAGCTTCGTTCGAGTCCTCAATGATCACTTCATTTTCTATATTTGCATTATTTTTGCTTTCCTGGTTATTATTACTAATACTAGTATCTTCACTATCCCAAAACAAACCCTCTAATTCTTTGTTCATTGCTTTGTACAGATTACTCATCAAAAATTCAGGTGCATCAGGTCCATTAAACCCATCATAAATTCCAACAAACAGCCATCCATGTTCTTCACATACAACCACATGCACACGATCCTCCCCTGCTTTTCCTAATGCCCATTCAACATTCACATTATTACGCAAATGCCATCCATTATAATCACGTGTACAGTTAATTTCCTTTTTACCTGTGAAGTAGTTTCTCACTGGCACCACCCACGGCCGTCTAAAGGCTTTTTTAATTCCATTAATGCCCTTCGTTTTTCTCCTTTTTACGTAAATGCCATCACCACCCAACGGAGCTGAGAATGGAACGGCAGACTCTAGTGGACCGGATAGAGCTCCTCGCTCGATCGGACCGGACATGAAGAAAGCCCTCTCTCTTTCCATTGGACCAGCCGGTTCGTTGCTTAAACCGGTTCGAGGAACCGGTTGAAGAGGCAAAGCACTAAAGGAAGACGTACTTTCAAAACCATTCACAACACTACCAGTACCATCGTCGTAAATATTATCAAGTTGGAGGACAGTTCGGGGAGTGGAAGTATTTGCACTAACAGACGCACCTGAAATCGCTCTGAATCCGGTTTCGGTCCTTAAAGGAGCCGGTTCATTATCGAACCGGAGTGACTGAGAAGGCGAAACGAACCGGTCTGAGTTTGTCGGAGAGAGACCAAACCGGGCGGATGACCTAACATAGCAGAAGGAATGACCTAGGGTTTCATCGAGCGGTTCGCTGCCCGTGAATATTACCTCCGGTTCAGTCCGGTTCACCACCGCCGGGTTACTAAAACACGAAAAACCGCCTCCCATTTCACGTTCTATTCATTTCATAACCCCCTCCCCCAACAGTAACCACTGTTATATGTATATATCTCTATAAAAGTAGAGTTACACAGAGAGGCAAAAGAAAATTTTGTTTCAGTTTGTTGTGAAAGAAAATGAGATATAGAGAGAGAAGAAACAAATATTTCTAGAGAGAGAGAATGGAGTAATCTATTTTGTAATGTTTTTTGCGGGCTAATGAAGTTATTGGAAAACAAAAAGAATGAAATAGAGAAGACTACTGGTGGAGTGATTTTATTTTGTCTCACACAACTTTGTGCGAGGCCTCTTTTTATCTCACATATTTGTGGACCCATATCTTACACATCTGGGTCCACAAAATTTTGGAACCCAAACAGTTGTGAGACAAAGAATAGGTCTCACACAACTAGTATCAGTTGTGTGAGGCACAAAATAAAATTTTTTCTACTGGTGTAGTTTTTTTATTTCTATAGAAAGAGTGTGCGAGATCCCGAACAGCAGCCTCGAAGCAACAATAAAATTGTTCTTTAATTTATTATGATTGAGCCCTGATTAATTTTATTAAAACTTGTATTAGAATACACGACTTAACTCACACCCATAAGGGTCCGACCCTTTTCGGGCCCTTTTTCAAATCATACATGAATACATAATACTCCGTATAGTGATTGCCCTTTAGAGAGAGAATGATGCTGATATAAAGGAAAACAAAAATATATACTATGAGAGCCAAAGATTATAGTGATCTAGATAGAATTCTTCTTCACCTTTAATTAAAGATCAACGACTCTCGGATAAAATTAAAAAATAGCTACTTCCCCCGTCTTGTAATTGAAATATAGCTACTATAATAGAGTTTCACTTTTGCAATTTAAACTTTATAACAATGACAAATTTCACTTTCAAGGCATAAAAATTTGCTAGCTCGCATTATTATTATAACTTTTTCTCCTTTAATAAGCCTTATACAGATCGAATCCATACTAATTGGGACGGTAATGCGAATAACGAACACCAAATGAAAACTAAAAAAGAAAAAGAAAAAGAGGGAAACAAAGAGATACTATTTAGTAGGAGTTCTAAAATTCATCTAAATAAATTTAGTATAGTATAATATTTTTTTCATATATATCATTGGTGGATAACTTTTTTCACTTTAATCCCGTCGAAGTTATTAATTTGAAGTCTTATTGGATAAGCCTAGTTAAAGAGTAAAACATTCTCTTTCAATTAACTCTACTTCATATTTAAATGGAGTATATGAACTCAAATCTCTAATTCATTTTTAAAATAAAGAAAAGTAAATAGACAATTTGCGTCCGAAATTTTAGAAAAATATTTCCGAGTGATCTGTAAGTTATAGGTTCAAATCATAGAACACAGTCAGAGACGGATCCATGATTTAATCCTTTTGGGTTCCTGCAACAACCTCGATTAAAGTTTCTATAGTAACTGAGTTCACATTCAAACATTTATATATATTTACTAAATTTTTCGAATATATTTACACTTTTTGGACAAAATCTATTGGGTTCACGTGAACCCGTAGGCAGGGAGGTGAATCCGCCACTGAAAGCAGTTACTAATATTTGCATTACGGTAAACTATCTATATCAAACCCCTTAATTACGGTCCTTTCTCCAACTCTACGTGAATACGGAACACTCTATTTTTAAATTTTCGAATAATTAGGGATAGGGATAGTAGACCGTGCATTTAAAGAAAGGAGTAGGGTCAACGTGGAGGGAAATCGAGGGCATATTTTGTCTTTATGGGTTTCTTTTGTCCTTATCGTTGATTTTTGGGTTGCTGGGTCTGACTATTTGTTTTTGTTTTTGTTTTTACACGTCCCAAAGGTCAAGCCTACGTTGAAATTATGACACTAGGATTGAACCGTTTCCAAACACTGTTATGACCCTTTTACCCCTTGATGTTTTTTCTTTTTTATTATTTTGAACAACTTAATCAATTTTATGTCTACCAAAAAGGTGTTTGATATTTTCAAAAGATATGGTCCGATGGATGAAAATTTTAACCATTAATTAGAGGTTTCACGTGAGAGACATAAGAATTGAGAAAATTCTTGACAAATATATTTCCTCTTTAGCGGACCTTGTACGACATGAATTTGAATTAGTTACGACAAACTTTATGACTTTACCAAAAAAAAATGTTTGGTAGAATGAGTGAGAATTTTCACCGTTAACCAATAACAATGAGCTTGATTCAAGTCTTGAGAATTGAAAAACTATTGATAGAAAGTTTCGTCCTCTTTATCGAGCCCTACGCAATCAGTAAATAGTAAATGAGAGCAATGTTCATCTAAGCGTATATTTTTAGCAAATGAGATTCATAATATACATAATTCCAAGCAAGTTTGAGTTCAGCTATATGAATATTTATTGTTCATATCGCTTCATTTAACCTTTAAATTAAATTAACTACTTTTATATTGGTGGTTAACATAATGATTCCTATCATGTGATAAATATTCACTAAATCTAATTCAAATTTTTCAGTGCTTGATCAAGGGTATAAACACCCAAAATATGCAATGGCACATTATACATCTATAATTGTTCTTTAATTAGAATTTTATTCATTGCAGAAAAAAAAAGTAAAAGAGAAAGGCCAAAGGTCTTTATTTAAAGGGTATTTATTTCTACTAATAAAAAAAAGATAAAAACCTCGTAGTTAAAGTAGATAAAGTTTGAAAATAGAAAAAGGATAATAATTTCGGCTAGTTGGAATGTTTGGGTCCACATAGTGTATCAGTTGGTCAACGAACTGATGAAATAGTCTAATTTTGTGGGGTCCGATGTCGATTTAACAATATTTTATTACAGTACTAACTTTTTGTTCAATTGATTCCGGTTGAAATTTGTAAAGATATAGATTTATCGGAAAAGAGTCATATTTGAGCTTTTGTTATAAAAAAAATATGTTAATATTTATCTTCTGTTTTAGGTTTTTTAGTATAATTATGCTACCATTATACTTGTGGATTAATTTACCCCCTACCCATTATAAACTTCATCCGATTTAAAAACACACGTGGCTGGTTGTCACGATCCGGATTTTCCAACATCGGGAGTCGTGATGGCGCCTACTAGTGAAAGCTAGGCAAGCCAATCAACTGAATTATTTGTCTTGTTTCGATTTTTAAATTCGTTAACAATTATAAACCAACAGTTAATAAATCAACAAAATTTAACAAGCGGAAGATTAAATTTCAAGTTTTAATAACACCGCTGATACGATTCCATAACAAATCTACCCAAAACTGGTGTCACAACTTCACAGACTGTTTAAGATTACTACAAATAAAGGTCTGAAAGAAATAATACAACACTGTCTCTGGAAATACAAGAAGGAAACAGGAATAATAGATAGAAGGAGACACCAAGGCCTGCGGACGCCTGCAGGACCACCTTGGGTCGCTTGATGAACAAGAAGCAGCAATCTCACTGCGGTCCGAAATCTACAGCACTGGGATCTGCACAAAAGAGTGCAGAGTGTAGTATCAGCACAACCGACCCCATGTGCTGGTAAGTGCCTAGCCTAACCTCGGCGAAGTAGTGACGAGGCTAGGACCAGACTACCAAATAAACCTATGCAGATAAATCATATACAGCAGAAAAATAAAAGCAGAAATGTACAGTCAAGGATGGGAGGGGGAAACATGCTGCGAGGAAACAACAAATGATAACAGGAGAACAGCAGGTAAACATAAGGAACACCATAACTAAATTTTCAACAAGAATCAGAAATTAAACAAGTGCACGACATCACCCTTCGCGCTTTTACTCTCATCCTCACCATAAAAATTAATATAAACTGCACGGCATCACCCTTCGTGCTTTTACTCTCATCCTTACCATAAAAATTAATATAAACTGCACGGCATCACCCTTCGTGCTTTTACTCTCATCCTCACCATAAAATCAATATAATCGGCACGGAATGGTACATCGTGCGGCACGGCATCACCCTTCGTGCTTTACACTCTTCCTCACAAATATCGTGCACGGCATCACCCTTCGTGCTTTAACACTCTCTCACCAAAACAATGGACGGCATCACCCTTCGTGCTTTACACTCTTCCTCGCCCAAACAACAAACACAAACAATGAGGGCAAGGAAAATAAATGAATCATAATAAGATCCCGGCAAGGGAACAATATCAAAACAACAACATCCCGGCAAGGGAACAATACCATAATCCTCTTCTCGTTTTCACATGTACTTCACAACTCGATTCACAATTTGAGCCAATGCTCTATAAAGTTCAATTGCCAATTATTCTTTCACAATTTGAGCCAACGCTCCTCAATGTTCAAATATTACCATTTCTTCCACAAACTTTGCCCAACAATAAAATCATCACAAATGGGCATAAACAATACAAACAGAGTCATAATAATCAGAATATAAGACTCACAGGCATGCTTGACACCAACGTATAGATACTCGTCACCATGCTATACGTTGTACTCAACAAATAACACATAGCAAATAGGACACATCTCCTAATCCCTCAAGCTAAGGTTAGACCAAACACTTACCTCGATGCCACGAACACAATTCAAGCCTCAACTATCGCTTTACCTCTAGATTCCACCACCAACTCGCTCGTATCTAGCCACAAGTTACTTAATTATATCAATAAATACTAAATGAAACAATTCTAATGATTGGAATAAGTTTTCTAAAGTTTTTCCCAAAAAGTCAAAATTTGACCGCGGGCCCGCTTGGTCCAAACCCGAAATTCGGACCAAAACCCGATTACCCATTCACCCCCGAGCCCGAATATATAATTGGTTTTGGAATCCGATCTCAATTTGAGGTCTAAATCCCCAAATTTCAATATTCTTAGGTTTTACCCAAAATTTCCAATTTCACCATGAAAACCCTAGATTCTAGGATGAAATCTTATAAAAAGAAGTTAAGGAGTAAAGAAAAGGAGTTAGAAATTACTTACTAATATTTTGGAGAAGAAAGGTTGTTTGAAAAATTGCCTCTTATGTTTCTGGGGTTTTGAAAAATGAAAAATAACTAAAATCCCGTTCAAATATACACATCTCAGACCCTCTGTGCGGACCGCACAAAATCGAGTGCGGCAGCGGAGCTCACAATGTTGACTGCAGTGACGTGCTTTAGTATTTTGGCCATAACTTTCTCTACATATGTCCAAATTGTGATTTCTTTACCTTTCTGGT